GCAAACACTGTGATATTCCACCTAATACGTAGGCAACGGAAGACCACAAATATTTCGACAATTTGCTGCGCTATAAATACATCACAAATGTGCACTTACTCTAATCGTGAAATAAATGGCAGACTAATGCTACTGGTATAAATATAATCAGTAAAGACGGGTTTATGGGGTCGGCCTGGTAGGAAATGCGCTCTTGTTTGTCATATGTTGGACATGAACTAGCAAAACTGCACAAAGGGCCTAGGCTGAACCTTCGCTCTGAATTTTCTACACAAAGGTTAGTGGAGAAATGGAATTATCTCCCTCAATCAGTCATAGAGGCGAGATCCCTACAGCTCCTCAGGAAACGCTTGGATGATTATTTGTGTCCCCTGTTTTCCCTCGACAGTCTGAACCCCAGTAAAATATCCCGTGAACCCTGGAACTTTTGTATTTTAAAACAGTGCTTCTTAAATTATGCACGTACTACTTTAACAGCCATAGTTTTCACTATCCGTGTACATTTGTATATAACGTACTGACACGTAATCTGTTGGGTTTTCAAAGAGCTTGTCTATCATCCTTACCAACTAAACTGAATAAACTGCAAATTCTGTGTGATAACAAAAATTGTGCTATGTTCGGTTGCGTGCACTGCTAGTGGTCTAAGTCTCTCTGCACCAGTCTGGCATCCCCAGTAGCCATTAGCAAGCCCATGGTATTGAACGCATTTGGGTGCGACGTACGCGGGGAATATGTATGTAGAATAAAATTCCGTGCACCCACCGATTTAAGTAGCCGCTTGTGTTTTAAAAGGTATGCTTGGACAGTCATATCCTACCATCTAACAACGTAATTTTTGACGAGTTGTGTTCATACATTTATCCAAAAATTAACAAGGTCGAACTTTAAAAGGTACGCATTCGCAGTGCATTCGAATGACAGAGCATGCAGGACTACTAGTAGAAAAAAAATAAGAAAAGACTCATCGGATCTAGAGAAAATAAACTAAACTGTAGGCTCAATCACATGATCTGCGATCATAAATGAACAAATAATCTCAAGAAGTTAAATATCTAACAGAAGCCGTTCTGCCATTGAACGTTTCGTCATTTGAAAAACCCCAACTAAGAAAGAAGTAGAGGTGACAGTTAGGAGCTCTACTCTTGATTCTGAATGGGAGTGAAAGGAGGAGAAGTCCCCTAGCACACAGGGGACTTAAACAAAAAGTTGTCAAAGGCAAACAAGTCCAAAACCAAGGGGAGCGTACAAGTGAATTTACCTGCGCACTTAACCAAGAATATAGAGTACAAAACCTCAAAGGAAATTAGCCCGAACGCATCAAATATTCTTTCGCACCCAAACGAAAAGGAGACTTGGCAGGCGAACACCACGGCCAGTTCCCACAGTTAGAATGAGACCTGGTAATCCGGCTGCAGGTCCTTTTTGCAATCGAAATCAGGGGGGGAGGGACCTGAATTCATGTTGACTCTCCCTCTGAATGACTGCAGTGTTACTACTGCAGTGTTTCTAAGATCGATCGGTGAGCGCCCCTACCATTGTATATTCCTGATCGAAACCGACAGGGCAACGGGCTCGTGGCCCAGTGGTTAGAGGCGTGGACTTCTAACCAACAGGTCAAGAATTCGAGCCTTGGGTGTTGCACACTTCGAGGTTGGGTATGACTGGCTTACGACGGCTAACAAGCCAGAAGTGGCCATTCCAGTCTCCCTTCTCTTTGGCGGTAATAAGATAGTCTTACTTTAATATTGTGTACAGAGATTCATTGCCTATGCTATCGGTAAGTGAAACTGAAATCCTCAGCTTGTACAAGAGGTTTTAGATTGCGAGATTTGCAAAATCCTACTATTCGATGTTTGAAGATTATCTTTGAATCCAAAGAGCAAACGGAACTAGTGCTGAGCTTGTAAGTGGCACCAAGCATGACCATATTGATTATTCTTCAACAGGATTAATTCTCCAAGGAGACGGAGAGACGGGAAGAGATAAGTTCAGAATTCAACAAGAAAAACGATTGAAAAATCGGAAATAGGCCTTTTAGTTAATCCGCAAGACCCTTTCTGTAGAAGTCTCGGGTATATCTAACAGATGAACACAATTTTGTTTTTTATTTATTTCTATCCATGTGAAGGCACAAGGTCATAAACGTTGATCTACTTATATTTAGGCTTCATTCAGAATGTTAATAAATCAAAATTTACCTACCGCTTGATAAGAACACTAAACCTCATCAGCCTATTTTCTGAGTCAAAAACCCCACTTTGAATGAAAATTGTTCTCAATGTCATTCACGCTGAGGCTTAGTCCTCCCTGTACAGAGGAAACTCGAAATCCTATGCATACAAATAATGTTTGATAAAATGGAAAAAGGAGCAAAAGCAGAGATCGATGTCAGTCTTCCAAAAATTGTGAGTAAATATCGTCTATACTATCATAAACAATGAGGATGAAACCGAGTTTTACGCCGAAAACACATGTTAAGGAATTTAGCTAAGTTCGTAATTATTTGTGGCCCACAAGCAGGCCGAAATGGGAATAAAGCGACACTTACTCAGCTTCACAAAGTCAGTTAGGGAAAAGACCATTCTCCCCTGTGATTTTGCTGCACTTATGGTAAACTGGTCAGATACTGCTGCCAAACGCAAGCATGGAGATTATCGGATGCTTTTAAGTACAGTGAATTTCCGGCCAGAACGACTTATGTAAGCTTCCCCCAACAATTTAACTTATAATTTGCTCTACTACAAGAATGGTTGGAAAATAAGTTATAAGGGCGTGCAAGAATCGGGAAACGTCATTGTTGAATAGGATAGAATAACAGAAAATCTTAGTCACGCGATTTTTGTGTTTAAACTTGTCAAATAACCATTGAGCAGAAGCCTACATGATAGCATATCCGAAATGCTGCACGCCTATTAGATCAAAGGTAACGAGGTAACGAACTTAGAAGCCGAACAGCCGATAGCAGTTCATTGGGAGTCTGAAGGTTGCAGCCCTAATTTCAAATGCACCTATTGGCATTGAAAAAAGATGCCACAATGAATTTTTCACGATTCCTGGATGATCGTAGCCTAACCTATCTTCACTAAAGAAAACTGCGTATGCGTACATACAGTACGTGACCTATCTCATAAGACCTGATGGCGGCAACTGGTGTTTACAATCACCCCTGCCATTTTTATTTAAGTTTATCAGTCGCTGATCGGCCTGGTAGCATGTGTCCTTATGAAAACGTTTATTCCTATGACGTCCTATCGGCGAAATCAAGCGAAACCCTGTTTCTTTTATTTAACCGCATCTCAATCAACCCAAAAACGTAAAGAATACCTCGAATCCTCGGGAAACCGTTTTGATATCTGTACTCAGAATGCAGGCTGTCCTCTGACCCCTGGTTTCCCTGCCGGTTCATGTTGACGGCGACGGTGACGGTGG